CATGGAGAGGAGAGAGCAGCATAATCTGCTGTTGCAGATGTTAAAAATGGATGCTTGGCTACTAAAGCATGACAGAAACCTAATCTCAAAACAAGTCCTTTGCTATAAAATTGTACTACAAGGTTTCGCATACAATAGAGACATGAGAAAATGCTACAGCATTTCCCAAATGCATAAATTCAGAAAGGTGTGAAATTGACCCTTGTGTAAAAAGTTCTACAGCGCACAGACTACAGCGAGGAAAATAAGAGAGAGAGAGACTGAGAGAATGACGGGGGAGGCTGGGGAGGATCTGATAATATTAAGCAGTCTTCAAGTTACATAATGAAAATTAAATATGTTTATTTAATCCCACATTCCGGATGATGTGTCAAATTTCCAAAATAAATCAATTAAAAATACGACGCACTTGCCACAGACATATTATGAGATCCCTTTGAAGTGGTTTCAGAAGAAAACAAATTTGTATGCAGGAAGTTCTTTAGCTGCTCAAGACTTGCCAGCTGCCTCTGTCAAAATATATTCCCTCAGATGTAAACACTATTCAGAGCAGTTCAGAACATCATGTGTAGGCACTGATATCCAAAGCAATTTTAGGCTCCAAAGTAACCCGTCAATTGGATAAAACTGGCATGGCCTACAATCACACCTAACCTCACGATAAACAGCATCAGGCAAATCCACACAGGCTCATGCGCTACATCATTTTTCAACTTACTCCTTATGGAAACTCTCCAGGGGAAATGCTGTGTGTACTTCTTGCAGTTTAGAGGGAGTTACATCACTTTTCTTATTATAAGTGAAATAGTTCAGAAATCTCCAAACTCCAAAGCTTAAATTCAAACAAAACTGGCCCCTGCTTAAAATTCATGAGAACGCTCTAATCAACGCGCGCTGCCTGTAAGCTAAGCCTTTTCTGCACTAACGGCTGCGTTGCCACTTAAAACCAGTTTCTTTCAAATAGACTTAGAAGAAAAATGGATTTCTGTCCAATTGTGAACACCAAAGTTCTTGGAATTAATATTTGCGGCATTCGATCAGCAAATTCACACTGGGACAAAAGGCTACCCTACAAAACTTGGCAGGCCTATTGTTACAGCATTTTGTGACAGTAATTAGAAATGAAAAATCAAATGGCATGAACATGAAGCCTTTCCAGCAACTTCTTAAACAAATGATCAAATGGTTGTGAGATTCAATAATAGTGATTAAGAAAGACAAGCTCTCAAATTAGCCATCTATTGACCCAGATGGAGGGATTGTCAGGCCTCGTGAGGGACATCTAATGACTCTGGGTCGATAAAGATTTGTCAGTAAACCTACGACATAACCACTGCAAAGAACGTGGTTCAAGACCATCAATTTTTGCAGTCGTATGCATCAAAAACTAATCAACAGTACAGTGTTGCGAATAACATTCTGTTGTGAGCGACATATGCACAATGTTAAAGTGAGAGTCTGTGAGCATCTAATGTCCCATGAAAATATGCCTGAAAACATATGGGAGAAATAGTCATAGATTATTATGCAAGCAATGTAGCAGTGTGTTGTTTTGGTGTTTGTCATAATATTGCAACTAACAACTTGCTAGTGGGAGAGACTACTAACTTTCAAATATGTATAATATAAAAACAACTAGCTTTTAATATGCAGTGGATCTACTGTATTTGGACAATAGATGGAAAAACAGAATAAAATATCAACAAGTGTTATCTGCAAATAAATAATAAATACCCGACAATAAAGCAAAATAGAAAAAAAGATCATATATTTGATATACATAATTAAAATTTTAATACAGAATTTTAATATATAATGCTATTTTGTTATTACAACATTTCTAATGTTGGCTTCAGTGTCACTGCTATATTAACAGGGGAGTTCTGATTATGCTATCCCTGCACAAATATAGGCTTTTAGGAAAGCTTTATGGCTTCCTCCCACGAGAGGGACATGGACTGGCTCTCGCTTTACTGGTAGAGGTGACAAAAGAAAAGATGTCTCAAATTCTAGACAATTCTGCTGATGCTATACTTTCCCCACTGCTATATTACCTCCTCTACATTGGGCCAATGATGCAGAAAGGTGACTTATACTTGGGCTTGGTGCAAACAGACTTGGCAAAAGCAAACCTGATTTCTGCGCTTGTAGGTCAAGAATCAAGTATTCCAGAGAGATGTTAAATATATATGTGTGAGGTCATACTTGGTATGCAGCATCAAGGCTGATTTCCACAGTAAGAGCTTCTCAATCAAACATGCAGTGTGAAAAAGAGGCCATCACATCCTGAGACACCGTGTAACTCCGTCTGGCCCTGCAGATCCCTATTAGAGTCACTGGTGCTGCACATTGTGCCATCGCTAACATCTGCAGACACACACAAATGAGCCCACACTTGCAGCCCCGTCCAGCCATGTCCATTACGTCAGCCAAAACAGTATGTGTGCCGGAGTGTGAGTGCATCGACTTTCAAAACACTTACGGAGCAAACACAGGGCACTTTGATCGATGTTAAAAGAGAAAATTGTTCGGGGCGAAAGTGCACCGAAAAGCACCACATCCTCCTGTTGGAAGACGTTCATGCAAATTAGAAAAGAAGAGTGAAAAAAATTAAAGACGTCTCAAATCAGTTCATTGTTTATAAAGGCAGAAACATCAGAAAATTCCACGTCCAGCGCATCCACAGGGAACGACACATTAGAATGTTTCGAAACTACAAAATCTCATCATTATGGATGATCCACAATGTGAGACATTCAAAGCAAAGAGCCACAGAGAAGTAGCTGATGGTAATACATACAGTATTCGGGCACCGCAGAGGCTCAGATATTGCAGAGGAGTCTCATCTTCAGGCACTTCAGAAACACAAATTCAGTAAAGAGGCTTTCAGCGCTCCAAAAGCCACACACAGAATATTAATCATGGCAATGTCACACACCCTGCAGACACTAATACATCCCTGCATACCAAACAGCTAATGAGTTCACAGAAATAAAGCAAACAAAGGGCGTTATTTATAAAAGTTTTCTTCTATTTCAGGAGAGCAAATAGAAGGAGAGACACTTTTATCCAAGCAAACCCAACACCCTTAATCCATCCTGTTTCACTGCTGCTATTCTCCATGTCGATCTCAAAACAGCCTGCTAACACATACATAAAATGTACCACTCCGATAATGCAAATTTTCTAACTTCTCTAGAAAACATGCAGTTACTTTAAGTAAACATGAATTTCAAATTAGATTCTAGTGGTTTAAAGTGCAAAACTCTCACACAGAGGAAAGTAATTTCAGGACATTTCCATAAAAAAAAAAAAGTGCACGGTCTGTAGAGGTGATAACTAAAATCACAGAGTTAAAACCCAATGACACTGGCTGATATTTTGCACATTTCAGGTTGTATCCTTACATGTGGAAGCAATACTGTAAGTACTGTAAGAAAGCATTTATCAAAAACATAAAGGCAAATATATATGCAATATAAACTCAGAATGACATTCTCCAGGGTTGCTGTTATAGATGCATGCTTTTTCAAACTCTGCCCCAGAAGAACTGGATAATCATGTGTTTTTCAACGGCAACTCGGCAGCATGGCATATCTCTGCTAATTGGCATGTCAATGTGTAGAGACGTCGAAATAAGCATCAAATTAAAATCTGCTTGGATTGCCATTACCGCTAGTATCTCGGTCATTTACAAACTGCTGTTTGAGTAATTGCATCCTGCTGCAAGTCTTCTTAATTCAATTGCTCCACCGACATCTAAGCTGCAACTTTGACATGAGAATAAAATCTGCTAGAAGCTAATATAAAATATTGATTATAGGCCAGAGATGTCTGCGAAAACATTATGAAAGTACACTAAATCATTTTATCAAAGATAGTATGTTCATAAAAGCAATCATTACCTGACATTATGTTAAATGTAATTTTAAAACAGTACAATAATTCCTTCACAGCTTCATAAAGATTGCCCTAGGCATTGATGAATTATTAAAAAGAAATAAAAGAATTACTATAAATATAAGAATGGTTTTAATCACAGTCCTTTATAAGTCAAATAAATTAAAATATGTGAATATTATTTAAAAATGTTACATTTTATTTTAATGGCGCAACAGAGTGTGTGATCAGTTTATATTTTGGCACGTAAATAAAATCATACAATGCATGTATATTAAATCTCAAATATTAAAGATTTTATTCAAATAAATTAAAGATTTTATATATTATATATAAGTAGTCTATATTATCTATACTAATTTTGAATATGTTACATGGGTTTCATTTGAAGTTATGAGTTGTCATGTGTTAATTTGTCACTAGTTTCCATCTGTGGTCATTCTAAATTAAGATGAGGACCGGAAATATTTTGGTACACTTTTGCAAGCCACTACCCCACAAAACCTGTATAAAGTCATTAGATGCAGAAGTACAATCTGTGAGACATAAGTTATGAAACGGCATCTATTTATAGCACTTACAACTTGTGAGACAGAAATTATGAAGCGACACCTACTTAAAGCACTGTTTTTTTTTTTTTTTTTGTAAGACAAAATTCATAATTCATCAATGCTTAGGAGCACAATATTTATGAAGCTGTCAAGGAATTATTGCACTGTTTCAGAATTACACTGGTGAGGTTCACTTTACCCTGCAAAAACTGAGTTAGTCTCTCAACACAACTTTCATGTTCCCCTTTCAGCCCCAGCCCTCATGACTGACTTATTAAGATCACTACATCCATAAGCAAGATGAGACACACACACCCACAGACACATTTCTTGACTGTGTGCACATCATTAGCGGGCTGAAAGCAGTGGGGAAGAAAAGCTGGTTTTCTCTCTGCATGCTGGGTGCCTAAACCAAGAGATCAGGATTTGCAGTGGACCATGGTCTCACCAGCAGAGCTTTCACAGAACATAAGCAAGCACTCAGCCGAGACTTGTCCATTTTATATTCACCACACCAAGGCTTTCAAACTGGCAAAACCAGGTACTTACTAGCTTGCATCAGCTGTCCTTGGCGGCCGAAGACCTGGGAAAAGGTGGTGGGAGTACAAGTGAGAGTGTCCTCCATGGTTGGGATGTCCCACTAGAATTCGGAATGACACGCCACGCAGAAAAGCACCGGTTTGTTGTCCGTCCCCTTTGAGAACAGAAGCTGGAGCAACGTTGCAGCTGTGTAAGAATAGCACAGAGGTTTCTGCTCGGGACGGAGAGAAATAGCCTCAATCACATGCAAGATAATGAGGTAGTGTCTGTGTGTGTGTCAAGGAGAATGAGTGAGAGTGTGTGCGGAGAGCGAGCTTGAAAGAGAGAATCAGAGAAATGATGTCTTGCCTTTTCCTGCTGCTCTGTGACCATGCGTTGAGGTTGTGCCTCGCTGGCAGGTTTCTCCAGCGTACTCTGTCCTGCTGACTGAGTGAGAAACCTTCGCTTCCCCCAGGCTCAGGGTGGACTGGCATTTGTTGTGCTCTGATCGGATGCGTGTGCCCTCTTCTCTCCTCCCTCTGCCTCGGCTCTACCCCTTCCCTTTCATTTCTTGCTTTCTCTTCTCTCTCCCTTCAACTCGACGATCTGTTTCGTAAGAAGCTGCTGCAGGGAAAATATTTTTTTTTTTTTGCAAATCTTGCAGCTCTGCATTTTAATTCCTCCCCCTGTGGAGGAGTGAGGAGAGGTTGAAAAGGATAGTTCATTTTGGGTAACTCACCCAACGGTGGCAAAATATCAATTAGCATACAATGAGAAATATTAATAGGTGGGATATTGGGATGTACTGACCTACAGTGACCCCCAAAATGTATTTGGACACTTAAAAATGTATGAATGTCTGCATTATATAACAAAATATCAATCCTGGTAGGAAATATATAATACATCCAGTAAAATGACCTTGAGACTGGTAGTTTAATCAATAAATGGGGAGAAAAGCGAAGAACACTTAGCTTAGAGAAACGTATAGCATTATTTATTTGCAGATGCCATTCGGTTTGATATTTTATATTTGATGCAACAAGATTGTCATTTCTAGGTGTCTTCGTTGTCATGCTTAAAAATTATAACTTTTCCAAATAGGCCTAATTAATTCCAATCCATCTAAATTTGATTCTTTAGCAGATATATACATATACACACTTTATTTTAACGTGATGTAGTTACATGAACTTACTATAAACAATAACAGTAATTATAAGCAACTAACTTTAAACCAAACAACCTTAACTCTATAGCAAGTTTAAATTAATATTACTCCGTAATAGTAATAACTCAGTAAATGTGTAATTATACTGTAACATCACCTTAAAATAAAGTGTAACCTTCAATTTTCCTTGCAATTAATTATTCATCCAATATAGCTGTTAAAGACCCATCTAGCTACATTTCAGGATAAATAAAGCAATTATTGCTACAAAAGTCTGTTTCATTCTTCTATAAACTTTGGCTGGAAACATTTCAGCATTCATTTTAGCCGTTTCCCCATTTGTCAGATTTTCCCATGAAAGCTGTGTGTCAGGTCAGCGTGATTGTTGAATCCGCTCTCTGCCATAAGAACATGGAAGATCTGCAAGTGTAGTCATATCCTCCTGTTCTAAAAGAAAAGACGGTCAACCTGATATTATGTAACATCCAGCTACATCGGCTAGTAATGAAGTTGAAAGGTGACTGGTTTACACAAGGACAGCCTGCAGTGCCACAGTGGTGAAAGAGAAGGTAATTTTATATTCTTTTTCTTCCTCTTATATCAGCAAACTCTGAAATTTAGACTTGTGACAGAAGGCACAGTGAGTTTCACAGCTTTCAACTGACAGATAAGGCAGATGCCGAGTGGCTGGTGCTCACTGGAATTAATTCCCTCTGTCTAACTGAAGGTTCACTCAAATAAAAATTTTTTTGAACATGAACTGAGGAGACATGCAGATAGTAAACTGTCAAGCTGGGGAGGGTAGAGCTGTTCCTCCAATGCATTTTCCTGCCTGAAGAGATCATTCTCTCTCTCTTTCTCCGTCTCACTGTTCTTCTGCTGCCCTCAGAGGCTGAAAGGTATTTGATAAAGTACAGCAGCACAAACATCCTCAGCCTACCTAGTTACGTAAGCCAACAATATTTAGAATGGTCTCTGAACGTAGAGATGAAGTAATATTTTGCAGCAATACAGAGAGCAATAAAACTAGCAGCAAATCTGAGGTTAAAACTGAACAAAGAATCAAAACCATTTATATAATTAATGCAATGTCTTAATGCGAACAATTCATTGGCACATAAGACCTCAAAGAAAAGTTTAAATAAAAATCTCAATCTTCTGAAACAACAATCTTTTCAGATGCCACACACCACTGTAAAAAAAAAATGTTTTTTTTTTAAGTTGTAAACTAAACTACTGTTTTAGTCTTTCTACTTCAAAATTTCATGTTTAATTCAGTATGTTATCAGCCTTTTTTTGTAACTAAGATTTATTAGCAATTTCTGGGTTAAAAGTTTCTTTTTTCAGTGCATGATTTTTTCAAAGTTGTAAATATAACAGATTTTTGTAGTATGTTTCACAAGAAAATACTATTTTAGTGTATCTACTTCAAAATTGTATTTTTACTTCAATGTTTTAGTTGCCATTTCTTTGTAATAGTTTTGGAATTTTACTAGCAATATTTCAGTAAAAGTTGTTTCAAATTTTTTTCAGTGCAGTATCTGATAATGGATAACCAAATGCCAAAATTAAGGCATGGTTTTTAGCAATCTCGCACTGTATTATGTTTTCATAATCTAACCAATTGCACATTTTTAAAAAATAATTCCCAACTTGATTTGTTTGATTCACAGAGAAATTCCAGTCTTATTTTTACAGAGGTAAAAAGTATTGCAAATTACACTTAACAGCAAAATTTGATGTATAATAAATGTTAATTGGGTTTAATAAAAGATGGGTCTTGCAAAATGATTAAGGAAAATAATTTCTTGTGTGTACCATGCATATGCATATCTTAGCTCCATTTCCTCATCTTAATGTACTGCATGGAACAACTCGGAAGCTGCATGGGGCTGCATTTTTTTATGACTAGGGCTATGCCACCTTGCACAGCAATCAGGATTAAGTGTGACGATATTTCATCCTGTCAAGCTGAGCATAGCATCATGCACCTCTTCTCTCCCATGCACAGCTTTGAGGAACCATAAACCACAGCATTGGCCAATGGAGGAACCATAAAAAACAGTACCATGGCATGGGGGAAACAAAAAAGATGTGCTTTGCCTGCTACATAAAGATCTATCCTGTATAACGGAACAAACTTGCACTCAATATTCAATTCTTCATTTGAATATTGGCAAGCCAGACAGTTGGAAGAGTACTTACAGCTATTATGAGTATTTAGTCAGGGTTACCTAGCCTAAAAGAGAACTGTATTTCACTTTAATGGCTTTTTTGATGGTCAATATGAGATTCTGACAGCCACTATAAAAATGAACTCTTCCAGAGAGATCAAGCTCTCGATAGATCCAAGTTTAATTTCGCAAGCCAGGTGATTCAGAGGTAACACTAATATTGGGCCTGGACAAAAAACTTAATGTACTATTATAAACAGGTATACAAAAGCCTAAATTAGTCATGAAGCAATGCAGGCAATAGATAGTGATGCATAGGATCAAACCCAAGTATTGACTACATTTCTGACAAACCGACAGGTACCGTATCTCTGGATACTTTCTGAAGGATTACCTAGTGTCAAAATAAAAGCTAAAATCAAATATACACTGAAAAAAAAAAAAAATTTAATATATCAATTAGAACAATGCATTTTACATTTGTGAAGGTTATTATTCATAATCACAAAACACGGTCAACATTTCATTCCCAAAAATATATCAATGCAGGACAGCACAGACATACTGCAAGATGAAAATTCTGCAAAGAAAAAAGTATCGTTTCAAGTTCCTTGCTTAAAAAACATTTCAAGCGTTCAGATCTTGTTCAGATCCCTGTCCTCATTGTCCAGGTGGTAAAGTGGAAATGACACGGCAGAGACAGGCTTAGGAGTGAGAGGGATTACGCTGTCCAAAGGCAGAAAACGCATCAGTTCAAAGCTTGCCAGGAGGTAGACCACTAAGGATTCTAAGTCCAGTTGATGTTCTATTAAAGAAGAGTCCTTATCCATTTTATAAAAATGAGAAACGATAAAAACGTTTGTGTAATGCTTGGTTACCAAAGAAACGGAGTGCTTGTGGTGGCATCATGGCAATAACGGCTAATTATACTAATAATGCGACATTAACTAGGTCTTATTAGATTGGAAGCAAATTTCTGAGGTTGCCGCAGGCTATGACTAATGTGCTTATAATATACCAGTGAAAATTAATGCTGTTTTCATAGTTTTCAAGCAGGTGTTATCACATATTGTAAAACCACCTCAAACTCTGAGATATCCATAAAAGGCAAATTAGCCTAAATAAAGTGCTTTTCTTCAGAAACAAGTAACCTGATTGACCAGATCACTAAATGTAAGCAAACGATTACATAATTTGGGTTGTAATAATGGCACTTACAACAATTAATTCATTTTCATGCAAGTGCAGAGCAGAGTTTGTCATTCCCGGTTGCAGTTTTAGTGTAATTTTAATGGCCAGCAGCCCTGCTGTAGATTCTGTAGATTACAAAAGGTACTGAGAAAAGAAAAGAATAAAAAAATGGCTTACAGTTTTGGCTGGTTTAGGTGAAGGTCGAATACCTTTTACATCCAGCAAACTTTTTTCTCCTGCTCACTCTGACTGTATCAAACAGCTCGATTCATTTACTATGACAAAATAAACAAAAACATCAACAATAAAGTAAAAACAAAAAAGCCTCTCAGATGAGAGCCTCAGTATGATAAACATTTACTTAAATATACATATATACTCTTCAAATAATTTTTCTCAGTAAAAGATGAGCAGGTAAAAATGGAGTACAGTCATGAAGAGAGGATGAGTCCAATCATACTGTATACAGAAGCACATGCATTAGGAGACCACTGGATCCAAATACCTTACAGATTAAATGGGGTGAATTAGTCTAAGAAAGAGAAACTGTTGAATGATTGCCTCTTGCAATACCTAAGCAAAACCAATAGGTCAACATTTATAAATCAAGCAATATTATTCTTAATAGAGATTTATTTATTTATCATATTCTTCAATCCGTATTGGGGGAAGGGGGTTAAAGGCTTATTTATAAAAGTGCACTGAGAAGAAACTTCCAATGGGCCAACGCAAGACATGAGCAGGGAGATAACTCCTGGTCCCCCTGAACATTCAGGCTGTGATCAAGTTGATCCAATTTAGA